TCAAAAAAAAAACCAAAAAAAAAAACAAAAAAAGGGACTCTCAGCCCTGGCTTCACTAGAGTGAGGCTCAAGTGTCACTATTTTTGCTAGACCCTTCAGGTGATTTTTCTTTTTGAGATGGAGTCTCACTCTGTTGCCCAGGCTGGAGTGCAGTGACACAATCTCGGCTGACTGCAACCTCCGCTTCCTGCGTTCAAGCGATGCTTCTGCCTCGACGTCCCAAGTAGCTGGGACTACAGGCGTGTGCCACCATGCCTGGCTAATTTTTGTATTTTTAGTAGAGATGGGGTTTCACCATATTGGCCAGGCTGGTCTTGAACTCCTGACCTCGTGATCCGCCCACCTTGGCCTCCCAAAGTGCTGGGATTACAGGTGTAAGCCACTGCCCCTGGCCCCTTCAGGTGTTTCTAATGTGCAAGCAGGTGGGGGAACCACTGGTGTAGAGGAAAAGCCACTGGGCAGGGCTCTAGTGCCTGGTTTTGCCATGAAGTAGCAGGGAGAGCCAGAGGCATTGATTTCACCTGTCTGTATTCAGTTTCTCATACAGAAAATGTAAAGTTCAGTTTCAATGTCTTCCAATAAACATTGTAACACTAACATTCTTTAAACCAACCATTGTGACAACTAAAAGAGTGACTTTGTTCAGTGACTGATTCCAATATCAAAAAAAGAATTAGTCTAGGCACACAAATGAGATTTCTACTTTGTTCTAAAGAAATATATGGTGACTAAAAGAACCCAGTGCTCCGTTTAATGTGATGATCGTTCCCTGTTTCACACTGTTGGACTGTTTAGGCATCAATTTAGAACCACCACCATATGTAGTTCCACATCCTTTGCTGCTCAGCTATGCTCAATGAGATGAGCCCCAAGTATTTTCTATGTTGAAAATATATGTCTCTATAAAGAGTAGAAGAATTGGCCAGCTCTCACTAGCAGAGCATTTTGCAAAATGTGGACTGTGTACAGGGAATTTCAAGTAGTGCATTAAATAACACTGAATTAAGTGGGTAGAACTTTCTCCCTTTTAATTGATTTCTTTTAGTGAGTCAAGAATAGTCTTTAGAGTTGAGATATCTTCATTACATTGTTAAAACTAATGTATTTTAAGAGAGTAAATTTTCAGACTAAGGCTCAAGCAGGCAATGGTATTTAGCTAATATTTTAAAACAATGTTTTACTTTCATTCTATTTAAGATATGGTACATATCTAAAAAAGATTTATATGAAGGCAAGATCTTTCACCAGCAAAAACATTATGACTCACTGAGGTTCAGATAATTGTTAGCATTTTTAAGCAATAAAGTATTTTTAAATTAAGATATGTATTTTTTAGACATAATGCTACTGCATACTTAATAGACTACAATATGGTGTAAACATAACTTACATGCACTGGGAAACAAAAAATTCATGTGATTTGTTTTACAGCGATATTCACTTTATTGTAGTGATCTGGAACCAAGCCTGCAATATCTCTGAGGTATGCCTGTAAAACCATAGAAAAATATGTGATATGCAGGCAATGACCAAAAAAGCTGGAATGACCATACTGAGTATATGAAAAATAGGCAAATTTAATGACAAATTGTTACTAGAGACAAATAATGATATTTCATAATGATAAGTTGCTAATCCATCAGGACAGGTATTAATATTAAAAAGAGGCTTTTTTTTTTTGAGGAGTTACATGTTCTGATGCTGCTTATCTAGTTATATGTAACACTTGTTTTTAAAGCAATTCAGTTATTCTTACCCAAATTATTTATAGTGAATGGGAGGATGTAAGTAAGGTTGTGGTACTTTGGTATAAGCAGTTTATTGGCATATTCACCAGTGTCTAGGCAGATTCTCTCTGATTTACACACAGTCCAGGAGGCTCAAAGAAGACAATCTGAATCTAGTTTGTATGGGGTGACAAGAAACAATAGACTAGAGTGAGTCCCAGTGGGTACCCTGAGAGAGCAATCCACATACTTGAGAAAAAGCCTGGTGTGATAGATCAGGTTCAGCAATATAGTCTGTGCCAGATAAAACTGCAGTAGGTGGAAGCTGGGGTAAAACTGCTGGTATGTGAGGGGCATGTCTGGAAAGCTGGAGAGGATTGTGTAGTAAGTCTGCGAAAATTCACTCAGGAGAGACCTAAACTCCTCCAGTAGGAGCCCCTGTCCCTCTTTCCTGAAAGAAGAATATATATAGTATTTTATAACCAGTTGGCGAGGAAGAGGTAAATTAGACCCAGAGACAGGTCAGGGAGATGGGGAACAGAGCAGATTCCTCAGGGAGATCAGGGCCATGCTGAAAGATGTGAGTTAAACCTGAGCCTGGGCAGCCTGAAGCTGTGTACCTAAGCAACCAGCTCGCAGCAACAGCAGACTCCTGAGCACAGAGAAGGCAGACGCACTGGAAAGCATTCAAATTAAATGTGAAATGAGTCTCCTTGGAGAACATGACAGATTCAAGAAAATTTTAGAAATGTCAGGAAAGGTCTAGAAAATCATAAGAAGTTCAAATAAGACCATTTCCTACTGAGAGCTACTGATTGATCCAACAACCTTAGGGATAAACTGCAAGATAAACGTGTGAATAAAATGTAGAGGACCTATTACTGTGCAGTTATGTATTTGAATACACTGTGTAAAAATTTCTTCTTGTATTATTGCATGTAATCACCAAAACGTGTCCATGAAGTGATATTATTTCCATTATATGGTTCAGAAAACAGACTCAGGGAGGTTAGAGTGACTTCCCTGAGATCATCCAGCTAGTAAGTGTTGGAAATAGCTCAATCTCAACTCTTATGACTACAAAACCAGAGATCTAGCTACACACTTCTAGTTTTCACAACTTTCAGTATGAATCTACTGTGACCCTATTAAAGTCATTCTCCAGAAGCCCAAACTGCATTTTCATCAGTCAGGGTGGACACAATAGACCCAGTAGGTAGCTGGTCACATGCTGCTGGTAAGGCAAGAGTGTTGCCCAAAATAGTCTCTTTCACTGTACCTGGGGCCTTAGACAAAGTCATCAATCTCATCCCAGATATATAAAGCCCTGACACTGCCATTTCCTACTTGTATCATCTCAATAGTAAAAGTCTTCTAAGCCTACAAAAGTGCAAATACCTGGAGAGATGCATTACATACTAGGGCAACTAGAGGGAAGCAGGAGAGAGACAACTGTGTGTGGTGCTGACTCAAGATAAAATGTGGAGATAGACCTTGTCATTCTCAAGCCTACAGAACTCAACAAAAATTGACAACCATTACTTGTTTCAGGTTCACTAAATATCAGTATTTCTGACATGTCTGGAACATATTATTAAGCTAGGATCTGACCCCATATATCTGAACTGATTAAGAGAGCAGGTGACTATTTCTTCTTTGTTCCAAAAAATAAGGACTAGAGAGAACCACATTTATTGGCAGTATAATCCTTCAAAGGTTTGTACAGCTTTGCTAAATGAGTAAATGAATCCGTTTTTTGTTTGTTTGTTTGTTTGTTTGTTTTCCTGCAGGTCTCAGATTGGAGAATAAGAAAAGTAAAAAGGGGTAATTTGGGACAATAATTTGTACATAACTGTAGTTATTGATGAGCCAGAACCTCTTTCTCCACTAAAATGCCATTTTAAAAGCTTTTGTGGCATTATACCAAGATATCTCAAAAGATTAAATGCCTCACTTCCAGTGACAGAGTCAAATGGTGCCCTTGAATGTAAAGTTTGCTGTTCCAGGAAGAGGACAAAAGAGACACATATTTTAGATTTTTAAATTAGAGTGATCTACATCAGTAATGTAAACGTCACCATCATCATTATCATCACCATCATGATCATTAAGAATTCTAGGCACATATGGTAGAATGGAAGAAAATTGTGTTTACAGGATGGACGCGGTGGCTCACGCCCATAATCCCAGCACTATGGGAGGCCGAGGCAGATGGATCACCTGAGGTCCGGAGTTTGAGACCAGCCTGGTCAACATGGTGAAACCCCATCTCTACTAAAAATACAAAATTTAGCCAGGCATGGTGGCGGGCACCTGTAATCCCAGCTACTTGGGAGACCGAGGCAGGAGAATCGCTTGAACCTGGGAGGCAGAGGTTGCAGTGAGACGATACTGCGCCACTGCACTCCCACCTGGGTGACAGAGTGAGACTCCATCTCAAAAAAAAAAAAAAAAAAAAGAAAGGAAAATGAAAATTGGATTTACCAAAAAAGAAGAATGCCAAAAAAAGGAATGCTTTTAGTAGAGAAAAATAATTAATACTCAGTTACATATGCTTTATTCATGCTATCTTTAAGTTTTTGAGAAATTAAACAGGGGAGCCAAGTAAGGAAGAACAAAGAATGGTAGTAATTGCCTATGTAATAGATGCATATCCATATCCTAAAGCAAACTCACCCCATGCCTCACTTTCTCTCTCCAAAAATATCCTATGGGAATTTCATCTTCCTGATGTGCTTCATCAAGATCCCCTGCTTCATAGATCATTGCTCGATTGTGAGACATGCAATAACAGGCAACACAAACTGTTCTTCCAAGCTTCTGACTTTCATTTTATCCCTTCTTTCTTATCTTCCATTGGAAAATGTGTTACATTCTTTTCTTGCATGAAAAAATTAAAGATCATTAAAAATGCCACAGATGTAAGAAAAATAAACAAGTCTAGCATCTTGTTGAAGATCTTTAAAAAGTTGAGAACAAACTATTTCAATATTGTAGAGGCTGGGTGTGGTGGCTCACACCAGCAATTTGGGAGGCTGAGACAGGAGGATTGCTTGAGCCCAGGTGTTCAAGACCAGCCTGGACAACACGGAGAAACCTCTGTCTCTACAAAAAACACAAAACAAAAAACAAATTAGCCAGGCATGGTGGCATGCACCTGTAGTCCCAGCTACTTGTGGGGCTGAAGTGGGAGGATGGCTTGTGCCTAGGAGCTCGAGGTTGCAATAAGCCATGATCACACCACTGCACTCTAGCCTGGGTGACAAAGAGAGACCCTGTCTCAGAAAAGAAAAGAAAAAAAAAAAAGCATATTGCAGAAATATGAAGAGTTTGTTCTTGATAGAGTTTTTCCTCTTGATAACATCTATGTCAGCATGCCTAGTTTTTATTTACAACCAGTTTCTTTATTATCATCTAAAAAGGAAATATCCCTAAATTTATAGCATTTGCCTTTATATAATTCATAATTTTTACTATTTATCTTGCTATTCAGTTTAGCTTACTTTTTATCCCCTTTTTTTCCAAAAGGCAAGACTTTATCAGTGTTGGAAACAGTGAGTTAATCTACATGTTGGGACAAGCTCCTTGATTTGGGTAACTACTCCGGATTATTTTCCTGCCATTACAACTATACCGTCAGAATTTATTCCCATACTAAACTCAAACTCTGGACCACATTTGTTGACAGAATAATCACCATCATATTTAAATCACACACCTATGAAAGAATTGTCATGTTAGCAGTATCTATGCATGTATCACATTGTGATGAAAAATACTTTGCTAGCTTTCTTTATTCTGACTTGGTTTTCTGTATCTTTCACCAGTTCCAGAATACATCAAGCTGTGATATCATTGTAAGGTACTTAAGCTACCTTCTCTGCTGCAAAATCTCCCAAAGTTTCCAAGCAAAAATCTTTTATACATTCTTTTGTTTAAGATTCAGCATTTGTATGTGTTGTTACATTAGAGGTAACCAATAAAGCACTAATGTTTACAAGTGAAATGGTGAACATCTACTTCTGCTGGTTTTTTATTTAAATATTTTTTCTTTGGAAGAATTCTTTTAGATTTGAATGTTTCTTTATGCTATGAATGCACGTTCTGCTTAAGTGTTCCTGTTATTACTTCATTAGCCAGCGCATCTCCAGAAGTATCACACTGAGGTATTAACAGATTTCTCCGTCAGCGGCAACCATGAAACTAAACTCCCTACCCGAGGCATCAGATTTCCAGCTAAAACTAGTATGGATTCTTTTGATCTCCCATTCTTGGAATCACACATTTAATTGCCACATTCAGAAAGAAGTATTTTCTCCAGACCTAAAAAAAAAAAAAAAATCAAATGAACTACACTTAGGAAAAGGTCATATGCAAATTGGAATTAAATACAAATAATATGAATTTTACTTCTGAAATCATAGCTAACAATGTTACATTGTAAAATTTAAAATTTTGAATTAAAAAGTAAAATAACAGGTTATAAACATTTAATGCTTCTCTATTCTCAGATTTTAAAATAAATGTGGGTTCTAATTGACAGAATAACTTTAAAATATCACACATGACTAGTACGCAGGTGAACCACACACAAATTCCCCCTCACAAATGCAAGTTCAACAGTATCCATACTGATCTATGTCCTCTCAAACAAGATGAGTTCACTGATCATGAGCTTGGATACCACGGTATGTCAATTGTAATAATGGTTTCTAAATGCTTACTCCCATTTTCTATACATTTTTGGCATTATTTTTTTGTAAGCTGGTAGTCAACAGTTTGCACACTGGCATCAAATGCAAAGCCCACTTTGACACTTAATCATACCGTCATTTCAAATGTACCACATCAAGTGTATGTGTTGGAGTTCTCCAGAGAAATGGAACCAAGAGGATCTAACGATCTATCTATCTATGTGTATCTATCTATCTATCTATCTATGTATCTATCTATCTATCTATCTATCTATCTATCTATCTATCTGAGATTGAGAGAAAAATTGCATTAAGGAATTTGCTCTCTCAAATGATTATTGTAGGGGCTGGAAAGTCTGAAATGTGCAGGGCAAGTCAGGAGGCTGCAGATTCAAGTAAGGGTTGATGTTGCAGTCTTGAATCCAAAGTTCTGGAAACTCAGGCAGAATTTTTATGTTGTAGCCTGGAGGCAGGATTCCTTCCTCTCTGAGAAACCTCAGTCTTTGCCCTTATGTCCTTCAAACAATTGGATGAGGCCCTCCCACATTATGGAGAGTCATCTGCTCTACTCACTGTAGATGCTAATTTTGCTTAAAAAATACCCTACAGAAACATCTAGACTAGTGTTTACCAAACAACTGGTCACTATAGTCTAGTCAAGTTGACACATAAAATTACCCATCACACTGAGTCAAAGAACTGTCTTAAAACAAGTATGTAGGAGCTCTATTTCTAATAGTCAAACCAGGAACCTCCAGAGGAAGAGTCTGTGATAGAGTCTATGTTCTGCTACTTCATTCAAGCTCAGTTCAATGACTGGAACAAAACTAAAACAAAGACTGAGAATTTGTAATGAATTGGGAAACAGCTGAATATACAGATATTAAAGCAAAAAAGTCCACATAGAGTATCAACTTTCTCCATTATATTTCATATTTTAAAGTATTCTAAAAAACACACTTGTGGATATAACTGTTAAAAATATTTCCCCTTTGCACATGATCTAGCAAATTATTAACCTTAAAAAACTTTACCAATATTTTTTCCCATTAAAATACATTTGGTTTCATGCTACAAATATTCTGTTTTTCTGCTACAATGTAACTTTTGTCTTCACTATTACCTTCCATTCTATGTTTTCCAAAAAAAAAAAAAAAAATTTGTATAAATTAGATTTGTTAAGTCATTATTATCATTATTTAAAACCTAATATTGGCTGGACACAGAGGCTAATACCTGTATCCACAGAATATTGGTAGGCATTGGTAAGCAGAAGCACTGCTTGAAGCCAGGTGTTCGAGACCAGCCTGGGCAACAAAGTGAGACCCAGTCTCTATAAAAGGTAATTTTAAAAAATTAGCTAGTTGTGATAGCATGCACTTGTAGTCCTCTCTATGTGGGAGGCTAAGGCAGGAGGATTGTTTGAGCCCAAATTTGAGGCTGCAGGGAGCCATCAATAGGCCATTGTAGTCAGGTTTAGGTGACACAGGGAGACCCTTTCTCTTAAAACCAACCAACCAACCGACCGACAACAACAACAACAACAACAATAAAAACGTTAATGTTCTTTTTTATTTCAAGAAGTGTACCCTGGTAGGCATTTCATTTATCCCTTAGCAAAGCCCCTAAACTCGCCTCACAACTATCCTGTAGTAAAACTCACTAAGAAAATTATTTCTTAGGTTTTGAATATGTTTTTAAACATATATTTTAAAAGCATTTTCTTTAAATTTTTTTTCAAAGAGAAAATCTGACTGTTTCAGCATCTTTTTCCCATCCTGCATGAGAGAGACCAACATTACCTTTTTAAAGGCTGTCAAGCAGAGATTACAAAGGATTCTTTCAGAGAAGAGAAATTGGTAGCAGCCCTTGGGAGAAAGAGAGTCCCTGGATTCCAAATGGGAAGGTAATTGCAGGTTTTGTGAGTATTAGGAATTTATTTCCCATTCCCTTGCTAAAATCATGGAGGGTAGCAAGACTGCAGAAAGCACAGTGCCATGATGAACCTAGGAAGCCTAGACTCAAGACGACAAGGCTCCGAGCCTTGGCAAGGACACGGCTTGTCAAACCTTGGCAGAGATGCAGAAGAGCAGATTGCCTCCAAGGCAACGTGCAAGTGTATCAGTGATCATGCCAGGAGAAAGAAACCAGAGGGCCGTTGCCAAATTTTCTGGACCTCATTAGCTTCCCAGGACCTATACACAGCCCTGACAAAGGACAAAGCTGTCAGTGATTAATAATATTGAGTTATTTCCCATGTTGTTGACCAAATAGGGACTCCATGCAGAAATATGACTTAGAGAAATAAAGAGCTATAGAATTTGCAAGTAACACTAACCACACACTCAAATTTCTAAAGAATAACAGCTAGTAAAAATGTTTCACATTCAGGTGATCTATAAAAGGTTTTTGATGCTATTGGTTTTGTGACAAGCCATTTCAACACTTCTAGCTTCTAGAAACACAACAAAGCTTCTAGATAAATCTTTATAGTATTCATTCAATTATTTGCTCATTCACCAAAAGTATATTGAATTCCTTCTATGTACTGGGAATTGTTCTAGATGCTGTGGATACAGCTGGGAACAAAAGAAACAATAGCTGCTGCCTCCATGAAATTTCTATTTTAGTGGAGGGAAAGAGAGACAATAAATTAAGGAAACGTAGCTCATAGCATGTTAGAGAATACGTCCTAAAGAAAAAATAAAGCACTAAAGTGGAATATGAGTTGTTGTCTACAAGTTTCAATTTTAAGTGGGGTGATCAGGGAGGAGTCCATTAGAAGAAGACTTTTGAACAAAGCCCTGAAGGAGGTAAGGAAGCAAGCAATATGAATATCTGGAGGGAAAGTGACCCAGGCACAGAGAACAGCAAGTATAATAGTCCTTGTCTGGGGGGATTTCTGCAGTGTTGGAGGAAATGCAAAGCAGTTACTGTGGGGAGCAGAGTGAATAAGGCAAGAAGAACTGAAGATGAAACCCCACAGGCAATGGAGAGCCAGATTATGCAGGGTCTTGTAAGCCATTGTAATGATTCTGGCCTTGAGTAAGGTAGAAGTGATTGGAGAGTTTTGCACAGAAGAGTGACAGGATTTGAGTTATGTTTTAAAAGGTCATTGTAGCTGCTGGATTGTGAAGATACTGCAAAAAGTATTTTTCTCCCACAATGTCCAGCTGCAAGGAAGTAAAGTAATCACACAATAAAAGGAAGTTTCGTGACTTAATTCCTTTTCTTCCCTGTTATTTATTAGTAGTTAATGTTTATTCAATAAATATTTACTACAATTGTGTATCCATTTCTTTCTTTTTCCTTTTTGATCCACCAACACTGCTATTATTTCCACTACCACCCAGATACAAATGTCATCATCTGGAAAGTGGACAAGAGCGACCAATGGAAGACTTCCTAAACATCAACTATATTTATACTCTTTAATTGGTTTTATAGGGACTTGGCTTTAAAATAACTGCTTCTGCAAGATAATGATAGTACCAGAAATGTCCTGGAAAAAAATCTATGCTCTAGGTTGTGTGCTATCAGTGTTTACTGGTGTGTCAGTAATACTGCTCACTGATTCCTTTTCTCTTTAATCAATAAGTTATTAACTACAGTGAGCAAGCTATTCAAATAAATATGGTATTTTTTCTTCCTCTTTTTTCTCTTTTTATAACTAGAGTCACAAATATAGGTATTTACTCATATTAATTTAATATCTCAAGATTGTGTGTGGGAGGCAGCTAAAGCAGCACTAGAAGGAAATTTGTAGTGTTCAATGCTTGTACTAAAAAGAAAACAATATCTAAAATCAGTATTCTAAGTTTCTTCCTCAAGAAGCTAGAAAGATTAAAGCAAGTTAAACATAAGAAAGGCTGAAGGAACAAATGTATTTAAAATATGTGTGTATATAATATACATGGATTATATATAAGGTATTGATATAATGGTGTATATGTATTATATATGTATGTGTGTATAATATACATGGAATATGTGTGGGGGGGGCTGTGAGGATGTGTACACACACATATATATATCCTATCAGTCTGTTCCTCTGGAGAACCCAGACTAACTCATGGATTACATACAGATTATGCAAATAAATATGTAATATAAAGTTATATAACATATAAAAATGTCATTTATATATCATGAAATATATATGTTTTTGTTACATATATATGTAACATAAATTTTATATATATATATATATATAGAGAGAGAGATATGGAATTGTCTCACAGGTTATGGAGGCTGAGAGATCTCATGATCTGCAGTCAGTAAGCTGGAGACCCAGGAGAGCCAATGTTATGTTCTAGTCTGAATTCAAAGGCAAGAGAAGACTGATGTTTCAGCTCCAAGACAGTCAGGCAGACAGAGTGAATTCTCCCACACTTAGCATTTTTGTTATACTCAGGCCTCCAATACATTGGATGAAGCCTACACACAATGGGGAGGGCAATCTGCTCTACTTAGTCTACCAATTCAAATGTTAGTGTTTTCAGAAATACCCTCATAAACACACTCAGAATAATGTCCACTAAATATGTAGGTGCCTCCATGGCTCAGCCAAGTTGAAACACAAAATTAACCATTAAAGCATATTTTATTGAACAATCTGCCCAGGATAGTAAATGAAATCATAGTCATTCAACAAATTTGATAAGTATTTAGTAGATCTTATTATGGATGTGTTCCCAGTGTAGGCTCTGGGTTTAGAGTAGTGATTAAAATGGATAAAACTCCTGCCCTCATGGAGGTGACATTAAGAAATGTAGTTCACAGTTCATAGGCAATGACCTTCCTTCAGATGGTCTATTGAAGAATCTCTAGGCTGTTGCAAAGTTGTCTGATTACACAGCATCCAAGCATTCTAGAAATTTAGTCAGTTAGTCAACAATTACTTGCTGAATGAATGAATATTAGCCATGTTCTTCTTTTCTCATTTCTGAGGCCTGTGTTGCATCTGTGTAGTCACATGAAAGTGTCTTACATCTGTGAACATCCAAGGCTCAATGCTGACTCAGCTCTTGATGGTCACTGCTGCCATCCTCTAGGATCCTTGAAAGGCCAAAGGGATCTTCATTCCCTAGAGTCCTCAGATTAGGAAAGACATTCTATATTTCATGCAGAAGTGGAGATGGGTAGATGGGGTTTGAGTGCACATCCCCAACTCTCGCTCTTTGATATTATGCTATGAAACAGGTAAATAGAAAGGGCTGATTCTTCCCAAATAATTTAAAGAGCTGTTATTATAGGTTTATGATAAAAATTATTTATAATACCTGAATTAGTCTTCTCCAGAGAAACAGAACCAATAGGATAGATAGATAGATTGATTGATAGATAGATAGATAGATAGATAGATAGATAGATAGATAGATAGAAGGATAGACAGACAGATAGATGAGAGGGGATTTATTATGAGAATTGGCTCGTGCAATTGTGGAAGCTGAGAATTCTCACAACATGCTATCTGCAAGTTGGAGAGCCAAGAAAGCCAGTGGCACAGCTTACTCTGAGTCTGAAGGTCTGAGAGCCTAGGGGGCTGCTGGTGTAACTCTTAGTTCCAGGCTGAAGGCTAGAGATCCTGGAGTTCTGGTGTCCAAGGGCAGAAGAAGAAGAGAACCGCAGCTCTAGAAGGGAGAGAGAAAGAATTGGCCTTTTTTTTCTGCCTTTTTGTTCTATCTGTGTCTTCAACTGAATGGATGGTGTCCACCCACACTAGGTAAGGGTGGCTCTTCCTTACTCAACCCACTGATTCAAATGCCAGTCTCTTCTAGAAATACTCTCACAGACATACCCAGAAATAATACTTTACCAGATATCTGAGTATTGCTTAACCCTGCCTGTCAAGTTGACACCTAAATCTATCACAATTCCTAAAATGTACATGAATGCCAGAAAATTGGAGGAAGGTTGGGAGGCTGAGAATCTAAGTAACATAAACCATGCTATCCTCAAAATTACCTGTCAGGTGACTTAGTCTTTGCCATTGAACCAACCCCACATATCTGATTCCTTTTCCCTCTAGGATGATTTATGTCCTAGAAGGTGCTTCATTCCTAATATAAATAGATTTCTGGTGAACCAGTCTCACTTGTCCTCCAGACATGCCTGGTCATGTTTTAGCTCCAGCAGGGCACTCAGCTGCAGACCACACTGGCACCCCCACTACACACGTAACGGGCTTGAATCTGCACTACCACCTCCTTGAACAAATCAATAATAAACTTGTTTTCTCTTCCTGAGGTTTTAAGACAAATGTGTTCAGTGTCTTGACATATGAGTAGAAAATTCAATCTTGTGAGTCATAAAGGATCTGAAAAGTTGGTTTCTTTAGAGGCCTTTAATTCTAAGAAGTTCATGATTTGAAAACGTCCTCTGAAAATCTCTGCATCAAGTTTCCTATGTGACTAAAATGTAAAAAATTATATTTCTAGACTTTGCTTCATCTTCTTTTAATGAGCCATACCCCAGCAGTATTTAAAGGCCACAACAAAGAGAAAAGTTTCAAACTCGATATCTCCCTTTCTGCCCATCATACAAAATCTGACTTGCAAAGCTGATAGCACAGAATCTCCTAATGAATGATGCAAAAGAAATGTGACATAGCAGTCTCCTTTCTGGCTTGCGCAAACTGCTGAGATTGTCCCTGATGCCTTTTGGTTATGGATGCTCCATTTGTGATAAGTTAACTCCACACTTCCAGGTTTGTAACAAGTTTCTCAAATTCTTTACTTGCTAATGAGTTAACCCCTCCTAGTTATTTTGTGCTTACGTGTTCAGTTTTATCATGTTTTGTCTTTGTACTGAATTATCAACAATTGTCATTAATGAGAGCTAGGCATGGTTCTAAGACAATTTCTCTGATCTGCATAACAACTTGCAAGGCAGATGTTATTCTCTTGATTGAAGGAAATGTAGCTAAATAATAACTTGACTCACTTTCTAAGGTCACCCAACCAGAGGCTATAAATTGAGGTTTAAAAAAATTTTTGCTAAATATCTCATAGTCCTGGTATGTCCGTAATACTTAATGCAATGATGCATGATACCATTACAGCACAACTGTGGTCGGAAAGAAAGAGTGAAATGTTGTGGTTTAGTTAATGCTTTGGAAAAAATGTTTTTAAAACCGGCCTCCACCCAGTTTCCTGTGTTCAACTTGCTGATACTGCTACTTCAGTTGGTTCATCATCTTAGTGATCCTCTTAAATACATTTTGTACAGAGTGCATAGCCCTTTAATCCATTTTTCCTCTTTAAGCAGTCTCATTTTGGCATTTAAAGAGTCAGTGTCAATTATTCCTAAAATTCTGCCTCTTTATCTAATATAGTGTTCCTCTTTCCCTTTTCCCCTTTGTAGGCTATCTAGTTCTCATGTGACTTGGAAAGGAGGCATCCTCTGCTTACATCCAGCTTCTTTGTGGTTTCCTCCAGCTTCCTTGTGGTTCCCCTGCCCTCTCTGCTATCAGGCAGGAGGAAGGTTGGGGGAGGTCATTCACAATGGCTCAGAGACAGTTGGAAGCCCTTGTTTGTTCTTTATCACTGTTTCTTAACACTGTCTGGCCAACTGATTTCCATAAGAGTCTGGTTTCTAAATACTGGTTTTATCATGGGGAACAGGCTTCCTACTTCCCTCCCCTGTTCTATGTGTTCCAGACAGTTTGATCTCTTCCTCTGTCCCTGCTGTTCATTCTGCAATCTATTGCAGATGTGGTCTGAAAAAAATGGCTCTCTAGGATGGGAGAACTAGTGGAATTAATCAAGTCCATGATATTTTGGTGTCCAGTTCCTACAAAGGACCACATTAAAATGACTATTATAAAATGACAATCAGGAAAACAACAACTAGAACACTTCAAAGACATGCATTTCCAAGAAAAAGAGACAGGAGAGGAAACAACAATAAAAAAAAGATGGCAACAAATTTTCCAAGAAACAAGGTAACTCAATCTGTAAAACCCCAGGCATGCATGAATTGGAGTCATCTGTGTGATGGGAAGTGTTCAGAGTGGGGCTAAAAACAGGTGGATCTGTGGAAAACATTTAGATGTGGCACTTAGACCTTCACACCAAACCTATATACTGCATAACCAGGCATATACTCCCTTCCTTTCCTTGGCAGAAAATTCAAGGTTCAGTCTTATAGAGATAAGACAATAGATCCAAGGACATTGTGTACAACCAAGGCAACATACGAGGCATGAAAACATTATATTAAAGAGAGTGGTACTAAGAGAAAGATGTAGATACACACTGTATTAGTCTGCTAAGGCTGCCATAAAAAACACCACAGAGTAGGTGGCTTAAATAACAGAAATTAATTTTCTTACAGTTTTGGAGGCTAGAAGTCCAAGATCAAAGTCCAGAATGATTGGTTTCTGGTGAGCATATGAATATAGAGGAGACACAAACGTTCAGCCCATGACACCTTCTAACCCGTTTCATTTGCATGGCTCTCAACATACCAGAAATAAGCCTCATCCCCAAGAGCAAAGCAAGAAAGATTCCCTTCTGGGGAAACTGAGTAGCCTAACAAGAAAAACCTATAAATACTCACTTTTGGAGAGCTTCTGATGCACCCTATAGTAAGCTCACCCCTAGATAAGTCCCACCTATACATGTAGAACTTCTAATCAATATTCTAGTGATTCTTTCTTAAATATGAACAGACATTAAAGGCTCATCAGGTATTTATGCCTCTGATGCAAAATAAAAAAGCCAAAACAAACAATGAAATTCGAGGAGAAAGAGACAATTTAGGGAATAGAATAAAACATAAAAGGAAAAAATGTATAATTAACTCCCATAGAGATATAAAATATAGTGTTTATAAAATAAGAGCAACAAGCTACCACAAAGAAATATTGATAAAATAATAAAAGAGCTTTAGAAATGAAAAATATGCACATATAAAAATCTGTATTGGTTTGGGTTCTTCCAAGAAACCAATAGGAGATACACACACACACACACACACACACACACCAAGATTATTTACTATAAGAAATTGGCACACACAAATATAAAGGCTGGAAGGCTGAGAATTTTCAGGATTGCAGTTGGCAAGCTGGAGACCTAGGAAAGCCAACAGTATAGTCCTAGTTCAAATCAAAGGCCTGAGAACCAGAAGAGCTGATGGTGTAAGTTTTACCACAAGTCCAAGTTTGAAGGCAGAAGACCAATGCCCCAGCTCAAACCCAGTTAGGCAGAGAAAGCAAATTCTCTCTTACTTAGCATTTTACTCTTTTCAGGTCTTCCACAGATTGGACAAGACCCACTTACACTGGGGAGGACAATCTGCTTTACTCAGTATATTAATTTGAAAATTAATCTCATCAAGAAATACCCTTATGGATAACCCAGAAATAATGTTTAACTAAATATCTGGTCAAGCAATGGCTCAGTCAATTTGACACATATACTTAAGCAAATACATATACATACATACATATACACACAATGTATGTATGTATACATGTATGTATGTATAGACATATCAAAAATAAAAATTTTAATACAAATTCTGGAAGATAGAATTAAGGAAATTTCATAGGATCTAGCTTTTTTCTAGAAAAGAATAAAATGATGGAGAAAATTGAAAATTAGAGTATGGGTATAAGAAGTCTAAGTTCAAAACAGCAATACTCAGAAATAGAAAATGTAACACAAAATTTCCAGATAGAATGCATCTTCTGAGTTTCCAACATAGTGAAAGAAAAAAGATCTACATGAAGTAGAGACTTAGGGAATTCCAGAACACCGGGAACAAATAAGTAAACATAAAAGCCCTATAGAAAAATATCATTATTTTATTAAAAAGGTCAGAAATCAGCCTGGCACTGGTCTTATTAAAAACAACATAAGAAGGTAGAGGAAAATGTAAAACACCTCTTCAAAAATTTAAGAGGAAAAATATATTCAACTTAGAATCTTTGCCCAGCCCAAATTAATCAGAAATGAGGGTTAAACAAAGAAATTTTCAGATTTGAGGTATCAAAAATTGTACTATCCATACATCCTTTCACAGAAAGCTATTGGGGAATTTAATGATGATCCCCACCAAAATAAAATAAGGATGTAAATACAGAAAAAAGATAAATGGCATATTTGTCAAACTGAGATCTTACACTCACGGAGATCTTACAAACTGGGTGAAAGGTAAGTTTGATAAAGGGATGATAGGATAGCCTGAGGCTAGCAACTGTGTGAAGCTATTACAATCACTAGTCCCAAAAAAACAGGAACAGGAGCAATTACCAAAGACATGAGTTTTTCAGGAAAGTCTACCTGGCAAGAGATGTGGCCTTTAGCATAGGACACAGCCAACCTGTAGTCACCTCTCAGGGCACAAGCTAGAAGAATAAATGCCTCAAACTTACTCTTTTCCAAGCTGCCAGCTCCAGCCAGCATCCATCATTGACATAACCAAAAAGAAACCATAGAGGTCAGTATCCTGGGCAAAAGGAAGGGTGAGAAAAGTTTGAAAAGAGACCTAAGGGGACAAACAGAAAATATCTCATATATGCAGTACCAAGAAACAGTGAATCACGCAATAAAGACTTCCCAGTAAATGATAAAGAACAGTCCCAGGCAGATTCACTTTAAAATGTGTGTGGTCTGAGACAAAAGTACATTTAACCCCCACAGCTGCACCCCAACTCGCATGTCCAATATTCCTCCAATATTGTGTTCCATTTCCTGCACAATTTTTTAAGTGGAGAAGAAGAAAACTCTGAACATTAAAATAGAAGGCCAACTAGTATAACTGGAAGGAATGATAACTAAAAGAATTCACATCACAAGGAATGAAGCAAAGCAATATCATGTGCCTCACTGAGAACACAAAATCATTTTCATAAAATTTTTACCACAAAATATTACCTGAATCTAATTGTGAGAAAACAACAGAGAAGGCCATATGGAGGAACATTTTACCAAACAACCAGGCTGTACTCTTCAAAAATATCGGAGTCATACAAGACCAAAAAAAAAAAAAAAACCAACACTGAGGAAAATTATCTATTGGAGGTGACTAAAAAACAATGATAAGTAAACACAGCACATAATCCTGGATTGAATTTGGACCAGAAGAAAAAATATTTGATATAAAAGCATTATTGGAGGATTCTAGCCAGGTCAATTAGGTTTTTCTAGATAAAAAGAAGAAAAGCTATTTCTATTTGCAGACAATATTCTGTACAGAAATATGGAACAATATATCATAATTTTCTGTATAGAAAATTCTAATGAATATACTTACAAAAATCAGTGATATTTATATGTATTATTAATTAACAATTTGAAAATTAAATTAAGAAAACAATTTCATTTGCAATAGCA